CTCTACTCTACTATGACCGTTGGAAAGGGCATTGCCCGGACGAAGAGCTGAAAGTGGGAAGCGGAGGGTGGCCCGCTGCGCAGGCGCGCTAGGGGGCTGCCCGCGGGAAAGGGGCGGGAGGGGGCCGCGGCGGCGGACGGGCTGGCTGGGCGGAGGAGCAGGGGAGGAGGGGAGGGGGGGCCGGAGGGCGCGGAGCGCTGGGCCGGAGTGGCCTCCCCCTCCCCGAGGTCGGGGGTCCTTTAGCCCCTGCGAAGCGGGGCTGCAGCCTCTGCAGCTGGATTTCCCACTCTGACAGGCGCCATTTTACCGCCCAGAGGGCTCCCTCCTCCTCTCTTCCCCCCCTCTTCTTCCCCTCTGACACGACTTCCGGTGGTGACGTGTATTCGCTTCACCGGGACTGATGTTCCCCCTACTACGTCTATGGGGGTAGGGATAAGGAAAGCCAAGAGTGCTCAGAGCAAGGATGCAGGATCGCGCACGCGCGGAAGGTGGCTGCGGGGCGGGGCCCGAGGCGAAGGTGGCCCCGCCTCGAACGAGTGGGCGGGACGGAGTGACGTCACTTGCCCCGAAGGTTCGGACCCTGCCGGGGGCTCGTGCGGTCTCCTCCCCCTCCCCGCTGACAACTGCCCCAACGGCTCTTCCTCCCCAGTCACGGTGAAAATGTACAGTAGGGACGTTGTCCCTACATTTGTGCGCCAGGGTTCAGGAGGGGCCTCTTCGTATGAGCCCCCTCTGGGAGCGCTGAACAGAATCACCTCTCACTCCAGCCTTTGCCCCTTCTCAATGGTGGGAGGACACTTGAGTGTCCCGCCCCCTCTCACCCCGAGGGGGCGGGGCAAGGGGCCGTGACGCCATCAGAGGGCGCCGCAGGGTGCGGACGCTGGTCGGAGATGCTGGAATCGCTGCTGGCCCTGGGCGGCCTCGTACTGCTCCGGGGTGAGAGCCAGAGGGATCGAGGTTCTGGGCCTGGCCCGTGGCGGAGGCGGCTAGAAAGGGCCATGGGTCATAGGGTCATAGGCCAGGGGTGGAAGTTGCGGCAGCTTCGTGAAGGCGAGAACCTTGGTTCTCACGCCATCCGTCCTCGCTTTTCCCAGATTCCGTGGAGTGGGAGGGGCGCAGCTTCCTGAAGGCGCTCATCAGGAAAGCTGCACTGTCGTGAGTATCCCACAGCGCGTACCCGCTCTGCCCCCGAGGAGGCCCCGTGCCCCGCCTCCCTTTGACACTGCCCTCTCGCCTCTGCCTCAGTGGGGAGCAGGTGCGCATCCTGGGCTGTGAAGTGAGTGAGGAGGAGTTCCGTGAAGGCTTTGACTCGGATGTCAACAGCCGGTGAGTACGAAAAGGAAGAGCTTTCGCCAGATGTCCCTTTGCAGCGACGAGCGCAGAACCTGGCAAGTGGTGGCAGCTGCTCGAGTAGTCATTGAAGGAACGCGTGTGAGGAGACATGACTCAGGAATGAACCAGAGTGGGGATTACTTGGGAAGTCTAAGGGAGGGGCTATAGAAATTCGGAGAGAAATGGTAGTAAAAGCTAACAGTGCAGCGTGACACCAGAGGCTATGCCAGCAGAATCCGATGGTGCCTAATTCGGGCGTGGACTCCGCACTTGGCATCCAAGCTGGCTGCAGGCTACTGAAGAGCTTGTCCTAAAGGTAGAGGGAACAGCATGTGTGAAATTAGGGAGATAAGAGAAGGCGCACCTCTTCCTGGGAGCTGGAGGGGCTTCCTGAGATCCCCAAGTCGGTGAATAAAGAGGCACCTGATTGTTGAAGGTTTTCCCTTCGTGGGATTCCCAGGATTTTTGACTGGTGAGGAATAAAGGAAAATGCCCAGACAAGGAGGCGCCTGACTGAGGCTGGCAGCCGGTGAAGCCGCCTGTGGCACCAGCATCCCAGATGGATGCCGAGTTCCGGCTGCTTGACTTCCAGTCCAGCTCCTGCAGATGCACCCGGGAAGGCAGTGGAGGATGGCCCAGGTGCTTGGGCCCTGCACCCGCATGGGAGACTGGGAAAAGTACCTGGCTCCTGCCTTCGGATCGGCATGACTCTGGCTGTTGCAGCCATTTGGGGAGTGTAAGAAACACCAATGGAATGCTTTTCTGTTCCGTAGTCTGGGCAGCTCAGCGGACAGTGGTAGTTTACATCTGTTGAGCTTTTTTTTTTTTTTTTTTCCTAAGATTTAAAATGAGGGTCCAGGGCTGTGGTGCAGCAGGTTAAAGCCCTGGCCTGAAGCACTGGCATCCCATATGGGTGCCGGTTCGAGTCCCAGCTGCTCCTCTTCCGATCCAGCTCTCTGCAATGGCCTGGGAAAGCAGTAGAAGATGGCCCAAGTCCTTGGGCCCCTGCACCCATGTGGAAGACTTGGAAGAAACTCCTTGCTCTTGGCTTCGCATCGGCACAGCTCCGGCCGTTGCAGCAATCTGGGGAGTGAACCAGAGGATGAAAGACCTCTCTCTCTGTAACTCTGTCTTTCAAATAAATAAAAAAATAAAAAATAAAATAAAATAAAGATTTAAAATGAGAGGTAGAGAGAGATGTCTTCCATCTGATGGTTCACTCTCCCATTGGCCGCAATGGCCGTAGCTGCGCTGATCCAAAGCCGGGAGCTTCCTCTGGGTCTCCCACATGGGTGCAGGGGCCCAAGGACTTGGGCCATCCTCCACTGCTTTCCCAGGCCATAGCAGGGAGCTGGATCGGAATTGGAGCAGCCAGGTCCCCAACTGGCACCCATATGGGATGCTGGCACTGCAGGCCAGGGTGTTAACCCACTGCGCTACAGCGCCAGCCCCCATCTGTTGAGCTTTGATTTTCTGTCTTCTCTTACTGTGGTGGAGGTGGTACTGTGTGTTAAGGTGGCATTCAGAGGGGTCAGGGTACAAGGGTATCTGGCAGCAAGTTCTGTACCGTGAAGAGTTCCAGGATTTCTAGCCCAGGCCAGCCTCCCTTTCTGAGCTGTCTGCGTCCACCATTAGTACCCAGTGACTTAATCTTTGACTTTGCTACAGGATGGACGCCTGCCCTATGTCCTCGGCTTTCTCTTTATCTGTCAGAGAATGATGCACTTTGGTGTCCCTCGGGAAACAGTTGGCAATGACGATAGCTAGCATTTTTCAGGCATGTGGTATACATCAAGCGCTGTGCTAAAAGCCACGAAGTAGGCCTCCCTATTTCACACGTGAAGAAACTGGGTCTTAAAAAGATCAGCTGATTTATCAGTGAGGTGGCGCTCGGGCTGTGTGATGTTAAAGTCTGTGTTCAACCATTGTGTTCTGTTTCTCAGTAATTATCTTTCACTAATATTTAGGATATTAGGGAAAACTGAGAAAACAGAGACAAAAACCAGAGGATGAGGCTTGAGATGGGGAGCAGTATCATGTTGTCTCCTGTCTTCCCTTTGCAGGCTGGTTTACCATGATCTCTTCAGGGACCCTCTCAACTGGTCAAAAACTGGGGAGGCCCCTCCTGGAGGACCCCTGGGAGCTTTGAGAGCCATGTGCAAGAGGACGGATCCTGGTCCTGTCACTATTGCCATCGATTCGCTCAGCTGGCTGTTGCTTCGCCAACCCTGCACCACAGTCTGCCAGGTTCTGCATGCCCTGAGCCATCGGACCCCCTGCCCTGGTGAGACCCCCCTGCCCTGAGCCATCAGACCCCCTGCCCTGGTGAGACCCCCCTGCCCTGAGCCATCAGACCCCCTGCCCTGGTGAGACCCTCCCTGCCCTGGTGAGACCCTCCCTGCCCTGGTGAGACCCCCCCCTGCCCTGGTGAGACCCCACCCCTGCCCTGGTGAGACCCCCCCCCGCCCTGCTGAGACCCCCCGTGCCCTGGTGAGACCTCCCCCCCCCCGCCCTGGTGAGACGCCCTGCTTCATTGCTTCCCTTGAGTATCTGCCCCGTGCCAAGGATTGTGCACCTGAGATTGCCGATTAACATTCTTCCATCTCTTAACCCTTTTCCTGCCTAGTTTTTAACCATTCCATGATGCCATCTACCAGTCATTCTTGTTTTTTCTCCAGGTTCTCTCTTTTTTTTTTTTTTTTAATTTAATTTAGTTATTTTTGTCTTATTTGAAAGGCAGGGAGAGAGATCTTGCATCTGCTGATTCATTCTCTAAATGCAAAAAACAGCGAGTGCTGGGCCAGGCTGAAGCCAGGAGCTCAGTCCCGATCTCTCCTGTGGGTGGCAGGGACACGAGCGTCCCAGGGTGTGCATTTGCAGGAAGCTGGAGTTGGAAATGGAGCCAGGACTCGAATCCAAGCACTGTCACGTGGGAGGTGGGCATCCCCAGCAGAGTATAATCACTGCACCAAACACCTGCCCTCTCCAAGTTTTCTTTTTAAAGTTTGGTTATTTGAAAGGCAGACTGACAGAGCTCTTCTGCTGCTGATTCACTCCCCAGATGGCCGCAACAGCCAGGTCTGGAGCAGGCCTAAACCAGGAGCCAGGAACTCCATCTGAGTCTCCCACATGGCAAGGGCTCAAGTACTTGGGCCATCTTCTACTACTTTTGCAGGTACTTTAGCAGGGAGCTGGATCAGAAGTGGAGCAGCCAGGCCTCAAACCGGCACTCCAAGCGAGTGAAGCGAGTCAAGCGAGTCTTTTTTTTTTTTTTTTTTTTTTTTTTGACAGGCAGAGTGGACAGTGAGAGGGAGAGAGACAGAGAGAAAGGTCTTCCTTTACCATTGGTTCACCCTCCAATGGCCGCTGCAGCCGGCGCACCGCGCTGATCCGATGGCAGGAGCCAGATACTTTTCCTGGTCTCCCATGGGGTGCAGGGCCCAAGCACTTGGGCCATCCTCCACTGCACTCCCAGGCCACAGCAGAGAGCTGGCCTGGAAGAGGGGCAACCAGGACAGAATTTGGCACCCTGACCGGGACTAGAACCCGGTGTGCCGGTGCCGCAGGCAGAGAATTAGCCTAGTGAGCCGCGGCACCGACCCACAAGTGAGTCTTAACCTGCTGCACCACAACAGCAGCCCCTCCAAGTTTTTCTTCACTCATCCATTCACTCATGCATTCACCAGACAGGTTGAATGGATAAAATATATCAGGTGCAATTCTGGATAATGGAGAAATAAAAATTTTGTAGTTGGATCTTCTCCTAAAGGATACAGACAAGTAAACAGGAAGCTACAAGATAGTTTGATGCAGGGTATAACATTAGGATGACCACTGGAAATGCCCATTTTTGCAGGTCAAGTATCAGCCATTTCATGGTTTGACTTAATGACTTTGACCTACATGAGGGTTAAAACATTGTGATAAGATGTTCAGTGCAGGGGTGGGTGCTGTGGCACAGTGTGTGAAACTGCCGCTTGGGGTGCCTGCATACCATATCAGAGCGCTAGTTCAAGGCCCAGCTACTCGCTTCCAGTTGGGCCCCCTACTGATGCACCTGGGAAGAAGCGGGTGACGGGCCTAAGTACTTGAGTCCCTCCCATCCACATGGAAGACGCTGATGGAGTTTCTGGCTTTTCCTGTCCTAATCCTGGCTGTTGGGACCATTTGGGGAGTGAAGACTATGTCTTATTCCCACAGTCTCTCTGCCTTTCAAATAAATAATTTTTTTTTCAAATTATTTTTAACTCAGTTATCTTCATTTTTTAAAGATGGTTAAAGCATTTTGCCTGACACTCTGTAAATAACCCCAGAGGGGGAAGGAGGGAGTCAGTGATGCTGTCCGAGACCTTGGCAGGTTTCAAAAACTGCAAGTAGTGCCGTGCGTAAGAGGAGAGTGGACAGTCAGTGGACACCAGGTGCAGAAAGTGCTCGTCCACCCTGAAGGCCACGAGGCCCCGCTGGAGGGTTCAGATGAGACTGGTTCCTTGGTCACATTGGCGTTGGAATAAGGAAGTGTATTCATGTAAAGGTGTAGGCTGGAAGAGGCTCAGAGCAGGGCAGAGAAACTGGGCAAGGGAGTCAGGGTTGAGTCAGCGCTGTGATGCAATGTGGGCTGTCCCTTCCTTTCTCCTCTTTAGTTGCTCCTGAGCGTCCACCTGAATGCTGTCCCCTGTCCTTCATGCCCTCCATCTCATGTCCCTGTCTAGGTCACAGCCCCGCAGTGGAGCAGGTGCGTGTGCTGGGCCTGCTACATGAAGAGCTTCATGGCCCAGGCCCCGTGGGAGCGCTGAGCAGTCTTGCTCAGACCAAGGTGACCTTGGGTGGCACGGCGGGCCTGGACTCAGCTCACATCGTGTTTCGGAGGCCTCGACAGCGCCCCATTCATCAGGTCAGGAGAAGCAAGAGGGACAACTGGAGATTGAAGCCAGAGGGAGGCATGATGGGATGGGAGGGGCCGTCAGACTGACAAGATGGAGTCCTTCCCCGTGTTTTCTGTGCTTGATCCTCACAGCTGTGCTGTGGGGTAATTGTTTCACCCGTCCACTTTGTAGAGTGGGAAACAAATCTAGGGAGATTTAAACTGAAGTCACTGACTCGAGATTATAGTGAGTGGCAGAGCCAGCATCTGAACTCAGACTATCCCGACTCGGCGGCTGTGTGCTGCAGCAGTTAAGGCGCTGTTTGGGCCACACACATCCAGTATCGGAGGACCTGGTTTGAGTCCCAGCTCTGCTTCTGAGCCAGCTTCCTGCTAGCATGCACCCTGGGAGGCAGCAGGCGATGACTCAGGCACTTGGGTTTGGGGCCCCGTCACCCACGTAGGAGACCCAAGTTGAGTTCCAGGCTCCTGGCTTCGGTCTGGCCCAGCTCCAGCTGTTAGAGGCATTTGGAGAGTGAACCAACAGGAAATCTCTTACTTTCCGCCTTTTAAGTAAAATGAAATAAAAATTCAGTGGAAAAAAATGTCTGACTCAGAGCCTGTGGGCTTAAGCAATGAAAGATACCGTCTTCCAGGAAATGGAACAGGATTTTGGAAAGACTAAGGTAGTACTCGGGGAAGAAGGAACAACTGCCTGTGGAGACTTCGGGGAGGGGCGGGGGCTGACAGCAGCCAGTTCCGGAGGTGTCTGGGGGCTGAGGTGTGAGGCCCTAAATCTTCCTCTGATGCCTTCCAGCAAGAAGGAAAATGCCTTTTCCACTCTCTTCTCTTTTTCTCAGACTCAGTGGTTCTCCGTCCTTCCTGACTTCAGCCTGGATCTCCAGGAGGGACCCCGCCTTGAGTGCCAGCCCCACCCAGACCCTTACACATCCCCGGTATCTAAGAGTGCCAGGGACGGAATGAGGGGCTTGGGCTCAGGGTCTGGCAAAGTGGAGGGAAGAGGAAGTGGGGGTGGCGTCAGGGATTGCAGGGATGGAGCAGAGTGACAGCGTCCTTTGTCCCTACAGGTGGACCCCACAACTCACTTGACCTTTAACCTTCGCCTGTCCAAGAAAGAGAAAGAAGCCAGAGATGGCCTGACCCTGCCTTTCCAGTTCAGCTCTGAAAAGTAAGGTTGGGTGTAGGGGCCTGGATCCCTAACCAGAGCTCAGCATCAGGGCCACAGAGGCAGAGTGATGACAGGTTATTGGTTAACCTGTCCGACTTTACAGGGGCTGAAGTCCACCTCCAGAGACAGGTGCGGGGAGTGGTTCCCTACCCACCCATAGTTCCCACGTGGCAGAGGCCTTTCTGTCTCGTTTCTCCATTAGAGCCTTAGCCGCACGATTGCCCCAGAGCAATCTGGGCTTGGGCTGAGCCAGACCAGACCCAGGGGAGGTGGCCTCATCTCCAGGCAGCAGTGCTAGGAGGACAGGAAGCTACACTCTGGTGAGTGTGGCAAAGGCTGTTAACAAGGGCTCAGTGGATCCTGCTGTTCTGTGCCCAGTGTGTGGGTGGGTGAAGCAAGACTACAGTAGAATCCTTGCCCTTGAGCTAAGAAAGTGGGGTATTGTAGGGAGAGCAATGCTAGACTATCCATCCCAGTGCTAAACGGTGCCTCTGCACTTAGGAAACGTGGAAGTCAGAGAAAGGGACTTGCACCAAGAAAGGCCGCCTGAGTGTCACCGTAACCTGGAAGGGGGTATCTGGACTCCACCCATTACCCACTCTCACCAGCGCCAATTCTTCCCTCCTCAGACAGCAGGCCCTGTTATGCCCTGGGCAAGGCCAGGCTGCTAGCCACATCTTCTATGAGCCAGATGCTTACGACGACCTGGACCAAGAAGACCCGGATGATGACCTAGATGTTTGACTAGACTGTAACAAGTCGGGGGACAGACCCTGGGTCCTGAACCATCATCCTGCTGTTTACCTTTGCCTGTTCCTGCACCACCTTTGTTCTCTGTGTCAGTGGAGGCACTGCCCAGTGAGCCAGAGAGCAGAGTCTGATCAGGACGGAAAGTGGAACAAGGGCATAGGATAAATTGAAAGAACAGCACGCTCCCCGGTGCCAAATAAAATATTTTTTTAATCAAAAAAGAAACTCGGGCCGGCGCTATGGTGTAGCGGGTAAAGCCACCACCTGCAGTACCAGCATCCCATATGAGCATTGGTTTGAGTCCCAGCTGCTCCACTTCCCATCCAGCTCTCTGCTATGGTGGCCTAGAAAAGCAGTAGAAGATGGCCCAGGTCCTTGGGCCCCTGCACCCGCATGGGAGACCTGGAAGAAGCTCCTGGCTCCTGGCTTCAGCTCATCTCTAGCCATTGTGATCATCTGGGGAGTGAGCCAGCGGACAGAAGACTCTCTTTCTCTGGTGCTACCTCTCTGTTTAACTCAAATAAATAATAATAATAAACTAGTAGCTATTTAAACAAAGAGTGGGGACAGGAATGAATGAGAGAAGCAGAACACCTGACTGTTACAGGGGCCTGAGTAACAATGAAAATGAAACAGGGTAGACCAGCCTTGGGCACCGCTGGGGTTCTGTGAGTGTTTTAAAGAAGTAGGCGCACTTTAGCTTCCAAGCTCCCTGTAAGGAAAGGGTGGAAGAAAGCAGAGGCCCTCGAAGGAAAAAAAGCCGCCTTTCCAAAACCTATTTTTTATTACTGTACAAAAAGCACACCCTCCCCTCTGTTTGGCCCCCCCTTCCCCGCCCCGTAGAGAACTGTACATGGTGTGCAGGGATAGATTGAACAGGAGGCCTTGTCCTGTACCTGCTCACAGGTTGAGCTCTGCCCATGGGCCTTGCAGGTATCTGGGCACACCCACAGCCAGTCAGGCTGGGGCATGGGGTCCCAGCTCACACGTACTCCTTGGCAGAGTTGGACTTGGGGTAGGAGCGAGGTGCACGGTACGCAGATTTGTTCTCACTGCCAGGGCAGGAGCAGGAGAGCAGCGCGCCTCCCAGGAGGACCAGAGCAGACCCTGCCCAGCCAATAAAAATGGCAGAACCAAACTCGTACCTGTGGAAGAGAAGGGACTGGGTCAGAACCCTGGCCTGCCTCTGCTCTCCCCCTACCCCAGGCCTGTCCCGATAGGCAGGGTTCCCAGACTTACTTAACATTCATGGGGGTCAGGGGGTTATAAAAGTCTGTGACAATCTGATGACCATACCAGGAACAAGCTATCAAGGCAGCAAGACCTGGAGAGAGAATGAGAGTTCAGACAGGGTGTGCTCTGCCGACGCCCACGACTTCGTGGTGGGAGAGGAGAGCCTGGGGCCCACCTGCCACGATGAAGACGATGCCTCCAGACATGGCAATGCGGGCCTTCTTCACTTTGTCATCTCCCCCACAGCGCGTACACTTCATGCCCATCGTGGCCACAAACATGGCCAGGAAGCCCAGCACCAGAGATACCACCATGAGGGCTCGAGTGGCCTGCAAGGCCCCTGCGAGGAAGGAGAAAGGTCGCTGTCATTGCTGCAAAGGCAGGCGGCCCTCCGTCAGCTCCAGCCTCGGCGGCCGGGCCGCGCCCAGTGACCCCTGGACCCTTGTCCTCCCGGCGCTGGGCGCCGCCGCCGGCCCGGGGCCGCCGCCGCATCTAACGGCCGGCTGGGAGCCCGCAGGTTCCCGCCCCCTCCCGGCACCGCGGCCTTCCTGCTCCGCCCTCTGCTCGGAACCCGCCCGGGGCGCCAGGGTTTCGATGAAACCGCCACGGAGAGGGGGAAGGGCGCAGAGGGGCAGCCGACGGGGCAGCCGGGGCTCCCGCGCTGGTCGCACGTCCCGGCCGGCGTCCCAGCTCCGGCCCTGCTATCGAGGCCGCGGGCGCGTGGCCTTGGCTAATCGGGCGATAAGATTAGAGGCCGCAGACCGCGGCCCACATCTGACAGAGCGCGCTCGCTCCGCGGCCCTCGCCCAGTGCCCCCTTTTGTCCGAGAGAAAGAGGCGGGAGATGGCGGAAGCCATTGTCTGCCGATGGAGGGTACAGAAGGGGACGACCCCAGCCTCGGGCTCCGCTTCCCCCGGCGAGGTAGAAGGCCAAGCTCGGGATGGAAGAGGCGCGCAGGTGGCCGAGGCGCGAGCCCACGTGCAGCGGACGGAACCCTGGCCCGCGCCCGCCCAGCCCCACCGCCCCGGCCTGTACTCTTCCGCTTCCTCCTGCAACCCGAGGCGCCCGGCCGCGGGGCCTCGGCCCTGCCCGGGACACCACCCCGCCACCTCGGCCCGGGGCGAGTGCGCCCCGTCGGGCCCGCGCGCGGCCTTACCGGACAGGGCGAGCACAGAGTCGTACATTTTGCAGCTCATCATGCCGGTGCTCTGCGTGACGCACTCCATCCACAGCCCCTTGTACATGGCCTGGGCCGTGATAATGTTGTCGCCCGCGTACGAGCTCATCTGCCACTGCGGGATGGCGGTGCTCGCCACCAGGGCCACCCATCCCAGAAGAGCCATAGAAAAGCCGAGCAACTGCAGGCCCGAATTGGCCATTTCCGCCTTCGGAAAGAGACTGGGAGCCCCGGGCGGGGGACCCTACAGTGAAGCAAATAAAACTTGAGGGTGGGGGCAGCCCCACAAGAAACAAGCCAGGTGGAGTTTTCAGCCGCCCAAAGAGACAAAAGAGGCGTTTATCTTCTTGTCCTCGGAGTAAAGGCAAATCGACGCCTCCGGTAGAGCGCTGGTCTCTCCCGGAGCAGCGGCTCCGCACACGGCGATCCCCGAGGCCGGGCGGTCCCCCTCGGCGCTCCGGGCGACCCTGCGCAAACAAAAGGTGTAGGGGCCGTATGGGCGCGGCCCTGAGTGCGGGCAAGCCCAGGATAAGATCCCGGGCTATCGGCCTGAAGCTGCGGTGCACGGAAGAGGAGGCGAGCCGGCAGGTGCGGACGGACAGGTGCGGCGCACCTGAGTATAAGTAGGGCGTCGGGGGCGCGCCCCCGCGGGCAACGGGAGCGCGGGAGGGGGGGCGGGACCGGAGGGGCGGCCGAGGGTGACCTGACGTCACCGAAGGGACACTCACCTGAACCGGAAGTCCTGGCCCCCACCCCTTCTTGCCCAGGTGAAAAGGAAGAAACCTGAGCACTAGGGTCACGCCCATTCACTTGCCGGGTTTTGGCCGCAGGTGAGGAGGAGGCGGAGGCTTCTCAGGAGTTTCCAGCTTCGAGTCAGCCCCCAGGACTGGATTTCCCCCGGACTCGGAGATGCCCCTTTCTCTCTCCCCAGCAGGTGCACCTGGGACACTGCAGAGGCAGGCGGCCAGGCTCGGCGCCGCCCTTTCGCCGCCGGTTTCTGCCTCCAATGCTCTTTGTCCGCTCGACTTTCGCCTCCACCCTCTGCTCTTCTTTTCCTTCTTTCTCCTGCTCTGACGGGTGGTCTTAGCCGGGTCCTTGAGGATCGCGCCTTGTTGGAATTGCCACTCCTGGAGGCCCCTGGACGAGCGCTCCACCTCCCCGGCCTTGGCCCTCCCACCTGGGCTGACCCTGCAACAGCCCGCAGGCCTCTGAGCCCCTGCTCCTCAAGAAGCCCCCCTTCCCGGCCCCCAGTGCATCCCTGGGCCCTTCTCACTCCTCCCCCAGGCTGCTACCCGCTCCAGCATCTAGGCTCCTAGCAGAGCACAGAAACCACCAGGGCCAGGAGCTGGCGGAGGGTGGGAAGCCGGGGTAGGCCTGGGTCAGAGCCTTGGCCGCGCCCATCACTCCCTTCCCTTGGCGTCTTTTCAGACCCGTTCTCCACCTTCCCCGCCCCGCCACTCACACTGAGCACTGCCTCTCTCCCAGCCAAGCCGCCTTGTGCGCACTCTCCCATCCCCTCGGTGTTCTGTGCACCCAAACATCTGGCTTTACAACGGGATCTTTGAGTCCACCCTCAGACTCGCAGCTCACACTCACCAGCCCCCACCCCCCAATCACCTCCTTAATTTGGTGGCTTGCTTTAACTACAATTTGTGAAAAGAGGAGAGGTGGTATTATCCTTGTTGAAAACAGCAATGTTTGGGGGCATTGTTGCTCCAAGATTTATTGAAACATGCCTTACTGTTGCCAACTCATTTTTTTAAGGTGACTTCCAGCTCTTCCCTTGACTTATGTGTACCCAACTTTTCTCCAAGCTCTCTGCTACCTCCCCGGGCCACAGCACGGTCACCTCTTGCCAGGACATCCTGACTGCTCTAATCTCCCTGCCCCCACTCCTGTCTTGCTAAAATCTGTAGCCTAGCCGGCGCCGTGGCTCACTAGGCTAATCCTCTACCTTGCAGCGCCGGCACACTGGGTTCTAGTCCCGGTCAGGGTGCCGGATTCTGTCCTGGTTGCCCCTCTTCCAGGCCAGCTTTCTGCTGTGGCCAGGGAGTGCAGTGGAGGATGGCCCAAGTGCTTGGGCCCTGCACCCCATGGGAGACCAGGAGAAGCACCTGGCTCCTGCCTTCGGATCAGCGCGGTGCGCCGGCTGCAGCGCGCTAGCCGCGGTGGCCATTGGAGGGTGAACCAATGGCAAAGGAAGACCTTTCTCTCTGTCCCTCTCTCTCACTGTCCACTCTGCCTGTCAAAAAATTTAAAAAAAAATCTGTAGCCTAAAGTGACCTTCATTTGTAAACTTAGATCTTGTCCTTGCCTCTTTAGAATCTTTCAGTGGCATTCTCGTGCCCCTGCCAATGAGTGCCACACCAGGGTCCACCTGCCCCTGTGTCTCAGCCGCCGCTGGCCGGCCTCTCTGCCCCTTACACATGCGACCTGCTCCCTTACCTGTGCCTTTGCGCACTCTGCTCTCTCTGCCTGGATGCTCCTTTCCATCTGTCCCTTCCCCCAGCCCCAGCTAACTGAGTCATCCGTCAGCTATCCGCTCAAGTATCACTTCTTCTCTCAAGCCTCCGCCCCACCCCAGACTGAGTCAGGTCATCTGCTCAATGCTCTCATGGCTATCTGCACATTTGCTCATTTATTTATTTATTGAGAGACAGTAGCAGCGGGAGTGGAGAGGGGTGGGAGTGGCCAAAGCCAGGAACCAGGAACTCAATCCTGAGGATAGCAAGAACCCAATTACTTTTTAATTAAAAAAAAAAAAAAAGAAAATTTTCTCTCTGTTTTTTTTTTGTTTTGTTTTGTTTTGTTTTTTTTTTTTTTTTTTGACAGGCAGAGTGGACAGTGAGAGAGAGAGACAGAGAGAGAAAGGTCTTCCTTTTGCCGTTGGTTCACCCTCCAATGGCCGCCGCTGCAGCCGGCGCACCGCGCTGATCCGATGGCAGGAGCCAGGATCCAGGTGCTTTTTCCTGGTCTCCCATGGGGTGCAGGGCCCAAGCACCTGGGCCATCCTCCACTGCACTCCCTGGCCATAGCAGAGAGCTGGCCTGGAAGAGGGGCAACCGGGACAGAATCCGGTGCCCCGACCGGGACTAGAACCCGGTGTGCCGGCGCCGCAAGGTGGAGGATTAGCCTATTGAGCCACGGCGCCGGCCTTTCCTCTCTGTTTTTTAAGATTTATTTATTTATTTGAAAGGCAAAGAGAGAGAGGGAGGGAGGGAGATCTTCATCTGCTGGTGCACTCCCCAGATGGCCACAACAGCCAGGGCTGGGCCAGGCCAGAGCCAGGAGCTTCTTCTGGGTCTCCCAGACTGGTGCAGGGCTGAAGCACTTGGTTTGTCTTCCATTGCTTTCCCAGATGCATCAGCAGGGAGCTGGATCAGAAGTGGAGCAGCCTGGACTTGAACCAGCGCCTGCATGGAATGCCGGTGCTGCAGGCCAGGGCTTTAACCTGCTGTACCACAGCGCCAGTCCTGACTTTTTACTTTTTAAAAATATTTATTTATTTGAAAGGCAGAATGAGAAAGAGAGAGAGAGAGAGAGAAGGAGGGAGAATGAGGGGGAGAGAGATCTTCCATCCATTGGTTCTCTTCAAATGGCTTCAACAGCTGGAAGGGGTCCAGGAACTCCATGTTCTGCTGCTTTCCCAGGCACACTAGCAGGCAGCCAGGAACTCACCTACCTGAGCCATCATTGCTGCTTCCCAGAGTCCGCATCAACAGACAGCTGGAGCCAGGAGCAGAGCTGAGGATTAAATCCAGGCACAATATGGGACACAATGTCTTGACCACTACGTCAAATGCCCACCTCAGGGCTGGCACTGTGGAGTAATGGGGTGCTAGTATCCCATACAGGCGCTGGTTCGAGTCCCAGCTGCTGCACTTCCTATCCAACTCCCTGCTAATGGCCCAGGAAGACAGCGACGGATGCTGCTTGGGCCCCTGCACCTGTGTGGGAGACCCGGAAGAAGCTTTTGGCTCCTGGCTTCAGATCAGCCCAGCTCAGCCATTGCTGCCATTTGGGAAGTATAGATGATCTTTCAAACACTTGGGTTCCTACCATGGATATGGGATCTCTGGACAGAGTTCTAGCTTTGGCCTGGCCCCATGCCAACTGTTGGGGGAATTTGGGGAATGAACCAGTAGATAAAAGATCTCTTTGTGTCTGTTGGTCTGTGTGTGTATGTTTTTCTTTCTTTTCTTTTTTTTTTTTTTAAAACAAGATTTATTTATTTATTTTGAAAGTCAGAGTTAGAGTGAGGGAGAGACAGAGAAAGATCTTTTGTCCACTGGTTCACTCCCCAGATGGCTGTAACAGCCAGGGTTAGGCCAGGCCAAAGCCAGGAGCCAAGAGCTGCATCCGGGTCCACCTGGGGGTTCAGAGGCCAACATGTGGGCCATGTTCTTTACTGCCAGATGTCCTGAGAAGGGGAGGGGCAAGAGCAGGCCCAGCTGAGAATCACCGATGAGTGTGGCCACTGAACATCATTGTGGATTTGTATCCTCTCCAGTGGCCTTGAAGGAAACAGCTGGTCCAAGGGCCCAGGGAGATGGATAGTTAGAATTAACCAGGGTTGGGATTTTGCTAAAAAGAAGGAACAAGGATCTTAGGCTGTATTAGGAGAATGATTACGTTTTAGACCATCAATACAAAAGGGGCAAGGAGGGTAAACACTAATGGGCGTGCTACATAGTGAAAAACCAATAGGATGTACGCTGGGCTCTCTGGGGTTCACCCCGGGAAGCCAGGCCTGGGAAGCCAGGAGGTGATCATGAAAAGTGGTGTTGAGGGATGAGAAAGCCTAGGACAAGGGCGTGAGGATGGACTGAAGAGAAAGATCAGTGGAGATAAGACTGAGGTGCTGAGATGGGTTGCGCTGATAAAGATTTTGCTGGGATTTTTTATGATTCATTTATTTATTGGAAAAAGCAGAGTGATCAAGAGAGAGGAAGAGACCTCTTCTATCTACTGATTCATTCCTCAAATGGCTACAACAGCTAGGTATGGGCCAGGCCTAAGCCAGGAGCCAGGAACTCCATCCTGGTCTCCCACAGCTTGCTGTACCATAACTCTGGTGCCTATGCAGTATTATTTAAACATGAATTAGTTATTAATTATTATACTGTTCAGATCAGGAAGTTTATAGACCCAAGACAGACAGATTTCCACTGCATTCAGGATGGGCTTCAGTGGTCTCATCTATAAAACGGTAGTGACAATATTTTTACCTGTTTTAAAAAGCAAGATGGCCGGCGCCATTGCTCACTTGGTTAATCCTCCACCTGCGGCACTGGCACCCCGGGTTCTGGTCCCAGTCGGGGGTGCCAGGGATTCTGTCCCAGTTGCTCCTCTTCCAGTCCAGCTCTCTGCTGTGGCCCGGGAGTGCAGTGGAGGATGGCCCAAGTGCTTGGGCCCTGCACCTGCATGGGAGACCGGGGAAGGCACCTGGCTCCTGGCTTCAGATTGGCGCAGCCCACCGGCTGCAATGCGCCGCTGGCCGTAGCGGCCACTTGGGGGGTGAACCAACTGAAAAAGGAAGACCTTTCTCTCTGTCTCTCTCTCGCTCGCTGTCTAACTCTGCCTGTCAAAATAAATAAATAAATAAATAAATAGCAAGGGACTGGGAGC